TCCGCAACATGGTAAAGTTACAGGAGTAAATAAACACAGCTTAAAGAACAACCAAGAGGAAAACATTTTACACTTACGTTGTTTTGTGAGGTGGATTTATCTTTAAAAAACTTTCAAAAGGATGCTACATGTAGCATGTATCCATGTGTTAGCTCTGAGCTCTGACTCAGTGATGAGTGACAGGAGGATTAAATGCTCCTAACTTTACCGTGCTTCCACTGTAACCGAACAGCTACGATTGGCTTAATTGTCACTTAATAAATCTTACTTGACCAATAGGTTTTCATCGATGACACCACTGGTAAAAGTGTGGGGGATGTAAATACGTTTGAGTGCTCGCAACACCCACATCACCCACGGGTGAGACGCGCCTGCCGGACTGACCCCGATACATGACATTGCCACATTGGTGATTTTCCATTAGTGTGTGACAGCGTGTCCGTTTATAGCAGCAAAGCCCAGCGGACTGTCAGGTAAGCAGTAATTATTCAGGTGATGACTCATCAGTTTTGATTTGATGAAGGATAAGAGTTATTCACGATAAGGCGTGTAGCTGACCTGATTGACAGGTGGGCGCGGTGTAACGGTTTGTCAGGAGGTTTAAAACCCACCTCAGCTCCAGCTCTCAGCCTGTCGTTAGGTTGACTGAAAGTTAGACTGAGACAGCATTTCCAGCATGGAGACCGCCATCGAGGGGACTCCAGCGCCCCCTGCAGGGACAGACGGGGGACGACACTGAGGCTTCAAACAGTAATGTGTCCAATGCAGCCTCCATCAGAAAAGAGGAGGAATAAGCTTTGCAGACCTTGAAAAATGCAAATATGAAAATCCACTTCCATACAGAATCCGTAATATTTTTAAGATATGAAAGATAAACGTGCAGACTAAAGATTGAACGCTGTCTTATTTTTGAGATAGGGTTGGATTCAATTACCTCTAAGCCTTTGTCTCCGCCTTGCATCTTGTCTTTCCATCTCAGGCTTTCAGATGTTCATATTACACGTCGTCAGAGAGGAGTGGGTGCAATTTGCGGGGTCATCACATGATGGAGGTGATTGCGGAGCTGAAATGGAATTTAAATGACGGCGGATCGCTCGTTCTTTGTGCGATCAACCCGACACACTGAGTGTCACACACATGCAGCCTCAGAGTCTCTCAGTAACGGTGAAGATTACCCTGCAGCTCACTTCTGATTGTCTCTGCATTGTTATTTAGAGCTGGGAATGTCTAAGTTTCAATCACACATCTTTTCAAAACAGCACTCACAATAAAGAGCAGGAAGAGAATGAAAATATTCTCTTTGATTACAACATGTGGCAGCCTTCAAACTAATCTCTCCTCAAGCACAGAATGACAAACACTC